GGGCAATTTCTGTTTCAAGTACCCCCCCCCTACTCTTTAAGCAAGTACAAAGTTCCTGTTCTTTCTTCAGTAACAAACTAACCTTCACCCGTCGTTGCTTCCTCGGGTTGTTTCTGCCTTACGACAAGTGTTTCGTCAGTGTTATGACTCACGCTGTCTTATCAGCGAAGGTATCTTAGCCTAATTCCACCAGCCTGCTCGACCAGGGGAATTTCCTGATTGCTTTTTATTCCAGCAACTGCGGATGACGAGACCACAGGTGTGATTGTAGAAGTCAGTGGATTGGACGAAAAAGGCCACCTCACTGCTTCCCCTGGGGCCTCTGCTCAGTTGAAATGTCGAGTCCTCAGTGAGTTGCATTTTCAATTATTTACCTTGTTGGTTAAGTTGCGCTTCACAACATTATGCTTGCAAGTCGTCTGAAAATCATATGAAGTATGGATATGAGCCTTGTCAGAATCCTACGAAACAAAAGCCTGCAAAGCATGGCAATTTTAATCAAAAATACGCCAATAGGTTCGAATAAATGAATTAGGAAATTTATCGGTCCACTATTATAAATAAACACTTTATTAAGCGGTAAACTTGTTTACGAACATCCCATAGAGGATTGCGGAAGCGAACCCGTGTGAAGTAGTGATAACAAAAAACTTCCGGTTGCACATTACTAGTAGCACAGTCAGAGGGCAACTCCCAAGATTAGACCCTGGTAGTGTCTTTGCCCCTATTATTCCCTTTAATGATCATTTACTATAACAGTTAGGATTCATTCATCTCGCTCTTATAGGTGGCTGATGTGGTGCGAACACCCTGAGGTTGGGACAGTCGTAATCTACGAGAGCAGCTCTCGGGTGTTTTTGATATTTTCAATTATTACCAAATCACGAAAGGGCCCTCAATCAAAGCACTGCGTGAAACATAGTTCGCTTACAGGACAATGAATACGCCTGTAGACGACGGTGCAGTTCAGCTGTTTTGTAAATAGAATTACTTGTGAAATTTGTTAGTTTGTGAACTCAGCCGTCCTGGGTTATCTTCAATGATCAGATAAGAACTTTGAATACTGGCACTAGTCAGTTATGTGTAGTTACTACCCGAGCTATGTTGTGAACAAGACAAACAGTGATGCTAAATTTACATTAAGAAGCTTACAGTGACTGCGATAAACATAGACGAGATGATTTTCCACATTACTACATTTTTCAGATTCTACAACAAAGGAGGCGATCGCGGATCAGGCGGACTTTGACGTAATCTACGGTTGGGAGTTTCAGCAAATAGATGGTCAAACTGCCGGGTCCGGACAAGTTGCTGGGAGAATCCAGATAGACTCGAGCAGCGGTCAGATGCACGTCACCGACCTGCGAGCTCAGTCGGAAACCCAGCCAACGAAATCACGTTGTGTGGTGGAACTGATACCGAAAGATCGGTCAGCCATTCCAGTTGGGGACACTGTCAAGGGGACCCGCGTTGCCAGCCCGTTTTTCCTAATCAACGTTCCACCCAAAGAACAAGCAGTACCAGACGATGTAGATGGTATGTTGCCCAAACATTAAAAGAAATGGGTCTGAATAACTTCAACGAAGGAACCTTCCTTATAAATTCATGACTCAGGTTTTTCCAGCTGGTCTCTCTCATTAAATACTGACTTCATATGTTTTTCCTGTAGTTCCACAAAATCGATACGAACTCAATTTTGAAGGTCTGGATGAATACGGAGCTTTATACGCTGAACAAGGCAAGGATATCAAGCTAAAATGCGTTATTCGAGGTAAGCTAGTTTGTTTGTAAACAAAGCAAAAGCAGTTAGTTGTATACAGTGGTTCTCTTCAGTCGGCTCCTTGTTGGTTTCTCTCAACCTTGGTTAACTAGAAACGAATTCTAGCTTCTTTATAGACATGATGAACTGTTCATATTACTCTGTCATTCTAGGAGAAACGACAGAACTTTGAAGGAATGTTCGAGAAAACATTAGTTCAGTATTTCATCGTCCTTTGGCTAGTGTTTCACTCACTTACTCAGTACATCATTAGTCAATCCGTAGTCAGTTTATGCTTCTTCTTTGTTCCCTTAATCTGCTCGCTAGATGTAGAAACCGATACTTTAGTTGAAAGTCTCGGACCGGCTCAAGCTGTCGGTTGGCAACTTCCAGTGTACCCAAGTGGTTTCATTGGAAATCCGGGAGACATCTTCAGAGAGACACGGATTGATCGCAATGAGCTAACTCTTCAGGGCCTTCGTAGCGATGCCATCGAAGGACTCCGGGGACGGGCTTGGTTTTTTGATGGTCTCACATACTACTATTCCGACTACTTCCCAATAGTAACGCCAAAGACAGGTGCGTTTTTTTTCGGTCAGCTATACCATCATGACTTCTATATTTGGCTTTGCAGCAATATCTTCATTCATTATCACATCCCGGTCTTTTCACTCCATTTATCACGATCAGATAAATGGTGTTATCGTGGCGATAATACCATAAGTGTTTCTGTTTGTTGCTTAACTAATTAGACCGAGTGATAGTAATCAGTTTCCTGTGTGAATTCACTTACCATGCAAAAAAGGGGAAATTTATTTAGGGATGCAAGGAACTAGTGTGAGAAATTAAAATTTCTCCTAATAGTATGACAATGCCCGCAGTATGTCTCCTACAATGATTCCGACTCAGAGGCAAGCGTTTTTTTGTTGTTGCTCAAGCACGCTTTGGTCATAAGGCTAAGAGTAGGAGGGGACAAAAGTATTGCAAACCTCATATGACAAAGTCCAGTGATAGCTCACACATCCATTGGACTTGATCCCAGACCCAACGGTGGTGCGCGGATGCGCGGTGGGGCCACTAAAAATCCACTAGATTTTTATTTCATACGAGCCGGTGTTACGAACATAATTCACAGAGCCGCAGTAAGCCTACTGCCAGGCGTTCCCTTTGACACGCATAGAACCAAAGGAGTGATATACATACAGGGTGATTGCGGGATTTCGTAGAATGCACACTCATATGACTCTCGTTTGAACAGTCGTCCTCCTGTCCTGGCACAGTCATTCTGGTGAGTCTACACCAAAGGGGGGGGGAGACACCGGATTCGAGTTCCGCTTTTATTAGAGCTCATCAACAGTGCATATTCTTGGCCATACCGGGGGATGTAAATTTGTTAGATTCCGTTCGTGAGACACGAGCTTGAAAGCTATATCTGACCAAGGACATGATCTGAGTGGAGTGCTCAAGTGCCAGATCAGCGTCAATCCCTATGGCTGGGTAGCTTCAGGACAGTATACTGTACTAGCGAATTAAGAATACGACAAAAAACTGCTTGTAAATGATATTTTCCAACTGCGAGAAAAGTGTTCACGGACAATCCGAAAATATGTAAAATGTTTTTCATCAGTTTTGTTAGAAAGGTACGAATAGTTGCACTTTCGGAGTACATTTTCCGTGACTGTGCGCTCGTTGAAAAGCCTACTTCGTCGGTGCTGAGATCGTCGTAGCTTCGCCGTCGTCAGATCAGATCGGAGACCTCCGGTACGCATAGCTCTCCAACGCTAGGCCCAAAGCCTGGCCACGCCTCTGGTTGCTATGTCCGCCTCGCAAGCCCTGAACTTGTATAGCCTAGTAACAGCACTGACACCATACCAATGCATCGTTAGGGTGGGCGGCGTTCGCAACGCTTGAAGCCATGTTTATATTGGTCGGACCCATGATAGAAACACGTGAACAGCCCCCCCCCATCCACAATCTAGGGCATGGACGAAGGGCCGCTGAACCTGGACTGGGATGCTACAGCGTACCCATTTGCGCCCAGTTCGCCGGTCGGAACGCATTCTGCTGCGCGCACCCTAGTAGTCCCGTGAAATTCGCACACTGGTTACCAAATTGCTGCAGATTAGGTGCGATAACACGCCAGCTGTTCAGCGGATTTTGACGAAAATCGGACAACCTGTGAAAGTCCAATTTGAAGACAAATATTCACAAGCTTAGGACAGTCGTTACACCAATTGGAAAAGATACAAATGCTGATGTACTTCAGACAGTAGTGAAGGTAATTTGAACTCAGATTTTTATCCTATCAACAACAAAGCCGTACGCAGTTCTTCCACCCTTACTAGATCTGATGAGCAATACAGATGCCTAAGACATCTGCATGTGGACATGCGTTCCTGTGGATGCCTGTCTTTTACCATTATGAACGTAACCAGGCAACGTGGCGATATGGTCAGTCAGCGTTCGGGGGGATATGGGATGATCTGCTTGTAATTGTCACTCAGTCCAAAAATACCACAGACTGGAGATGCTGTATTATACGGCATCCGAATGATCCTCCACGGAACTCCCCTAGTAGAAGTAGATATAGCTAGGATATTCTGAGAGGTGACGTGGAAGTTTCAAATGTGAACTGATCCTAAATGTATTCAGGGTGATTTTTTATGGTCCTTGTGGCCCAATTTATTGGATTCGCGGTTCTATCTATTTCGCATAACTCCGGTTTTACAGCTGGAACTACTGGAATCGATAGTTTCATACATTGCTTCTGTCATGCTCCTAATATAGAGCAACACCGACCCAAACGTTTACCATTTAAAAACTACCCTTTTATATTATTCAGGTTCGGATGGCCGAGTACGGGTTCAAGTCAAGGAGATAGGAGCCGACGATGAGCGCAAGTACATTTGTGCTGCATATGGTGAGTTGCTTTGCCGACAACCTAAGCTCTTTTATCGATACGTTAGTAGCTTCGGTTCACTGGATCAATTCGTTGATGTTCTTCCACCTGGCTAGTTAATTTTACTACTTTTGTAGAAAGACTGGGAGGGTTGAAATTGGATGCTTCATTGAATCGAAATTATGGTGTAACTGAGTGTGATTTTCTTATGATGACGATTATTACCACTTTCTTCCTTGATTGATTAAGTGTAATGCCATAACTTCTGCAATGAGCTCTAGTCAAGGTCGTGTCGAGCTGGGGATGACAACAATGTAGCTGTGAGCTCGCATGCTTCTGGTTTTTCATAAATAAGTTAACCTAGATCGAAGAAAAATACTTAGCTTTGAATGAATCCTTTGTTCATGAGTTGCTCCTCTCATGGGATTGCATTATCTAATCTTTTTTCGCTAATAGATGCAAAAACGGGACAGCGATTAGATAATGTGTCATATGAATGGGTGTTTACCACACCTTCTGGAGAACGAATTTGGCCAGCATTCTACTTTGACATCGTCGACAGCCGAGGAGCCGAACTGACTTTGAGACCTCATGGTAAACGTCTGTCAATACCGGAAAATCTGAAGGATGATGGACCGTTTGAAGGTCGCTGCATAGTGCTCTACCAAAAATTGGCAGGCAATCTAACAGAACCCCATCGAATCAATGTTTATCAGTCCGAACCATTTATCCTAATTGATTCAAAGAGAGACTATCCAACGCCGTTCATTCCTCCAGATCCCCTAAATACAGATGGTATGTTCAATAGAGTGTGCACACGCTTCATCAGTTAAATACACCATCCACCATTTGTGTAATTAGTGTTAAACAGTATCCCACTGTTGCACTCAGACTGTGGCTGTCAACAGCCACCCGCATTAGTTTATCACATTTACTATGCGGTTTGTTCACTGAGATTGTCAACTTGATTATAAATACTCAATTATCAACATTTCCCGCAAGTTTGAATTCGGTGAATGATGTTCCGTCGCTCATGCTAACTTCATATCCGATTCCGCTGTAATGAGCTGAAGCCACCCTATATCTGCCACTGAAACTGCAAATAAGTGAAGTACACTCATGCGCATACTAATTTGGATTTCACGGTGACTCAAGTGAATCTCAGCTGAATCTCTCGTATATATTCCAGAAACCATCCAGAGACCGAAAATATTTTCACCCCATGAGTACAAAGCAAAACATCTATGGTTGTCTGGTTCCGTGGAAAATGTTGCCTTTGAAAACTTTTGCTGCATATTACTGTGTAAACGGAAGCAAACGTCTAAATTCCACAGCTGGTAAGGTCTCACAATCAAGTGTATTCTAACTATAGAGATCATGACAGCACGACATATCCCACAGAGATGGTTTTCGCAGCTGTTCACATAGGCCGGGTGTTCGGCAGGGACATCTGCACATGGAACACTGGGCAGCCCATACATCAGTACTAACGCAGACAACAGGGCAATGAAAAACAGTGCATCGGGTAGTAGGGACCGGAGGTTTGGTTTTTGAAACAGTGTCATTTCAGATGCGGTATAAACACGAATACACAATCAGTAACAGCTAACCATATAAATCACCATTTGAAGTTCGCATTGGATGGAATGGGAAGACAGAAAAACACTTGAAAATCATATGGAAATCAAACTAGTGGGCAGGAGGACGCAAAGTATTCAGAAATAGTTCATTATCTGCACATTTTGATTCCTGCAGTGAATCAGCGGTAAATTTATTTTTCCACTTCATTTGGGAATGAAGTGGGTTACAAATGTGTTGCAATGAATGTGGGTTGCAAACGCGAAGCAAGTGAAGATGGGATAGAAGTACACTTTGTTTCGCAACTGTTTGCTTAATTTTTTCGCTTCAGGTGGAGTTCATTAGCACGCACTCAATCGGGAAGTGAATCGCAAGGTAGCAAATCGGCTATAAAGCAAAGCAGAAGTTAAAGTAAAGGAATTAGTGTTCGATGGACACAATCATCATCCATGGGATTTCCAGTAAAACTCATTACTCATAGAGTTTTCCCCCATAAACTTAGCTGCGCTTGTATTACAGGCTGCATGCTGTGGATAATGAAATACAACTGTTTCGGAGCTGTCTGGTGGTCTGGGCCATTATACTGCCATTGGAAGACGTTCGTGAGGTCATTTCCGATTGATGAGTGTAGGTAACGTAGCTGATCGCTAGTCATGGGCACTGTGAACTAGACCAGGAAGTAGTCATGAGATGGTACCGAATAAATTACCGGTATAATTTATTCTGTAAATGCTTGAGATCACTTACAGTTGCTGTTAATTATGCCGTTGTCAAGACCGCTAGTAGGTGTGGGAAACAATGAGTGGCCCAAAAAACTGACAATAGTTTGTTATGCCCATGTAAATAAGTCACAGTTCAGTAAAGCTTTACAGGGGTTACGTGTTTATGCTTTCTCATTCAGACCGGAAAATCGCTGTCAATGTGGATGGTGTGGAACGCGGATTGGTCACCGCGAAGGAAGGCGATACAGTTACGCTGACATGTCAGGCTGTTGGTGAGTAATACTCTTGACCACTCAGATACTCTTAAAACTAACGCCATTAGGGGAAGTAGGTGTTGTAACCTGGACAACCTTAACGTGATTCACGTGGCCCCTCAAAACTCCTGACCGATGATACTGATATCTCCCTATCTGCATGTTACTTCACTTCAAACTTCAAACTCCCTAGGTTGGAATTCTGGCATTCTCCCTTTTGCACAATAGACTGTGAGTGATAAGGAGAAGACCAATTCAATTTGCTTGCACCACTTTTCTGACCTATTGAGGGATACGTAAAATGCATGTAAGGAAAACAAAGCTTCATCTATTTGTGGTCTTGTATGAAGTGCCTTTGGCAGAACTTAGATGAAACAGATTGATCGCTTTGTTGTTGTGATCACGAACCCAGTGCTACGGAGCACTCGACAGCAAGACATGGTGTAGATCTCATTGCACCAGTGAAAGACACTTGCGTATACCCTATATGCACGTTCAACTACCGATAACGAAGAGGGGCTTTTTCTTCAAATCAGAGCGCTTCTTGAGGCCCATTCTAGAGCCAACAAACCTTAAAACCGGATTTTTGACACTTAGTTGACTTGCAATGGGATGGCGAAAATAGCTGTATAAGACAGAAGTGATTCGGACAAACTCCTTCCTACTGGTCCCCATTCGTTAAACATCGTTGTGTGAGCTCAAATTAGTAGACAAGACTGAACTCAACGAACATTTAGCGTCGAAAACCGGTACCTGGTTGCTAAGTTTTCTCCCGTAAGGCTGCCGAGCTAAATCATGAATCGGGCGAATACTGTATCTCAGATATCACCGAGTAATCTTGTCTAAACCACAATTACCCTCCTTGGATAGGTTGACTATACAATAGGCATTCACTCTCCTTGATGAGCCAGATCGTCTGTTTGGTTATTCTTATCAACATGTAGGGTTAAAATCATGCTGATATTCTAACCATTTGTCCACCAGATGTGAAGACTCTTCTACCGGTTGAGGGTTTATCGTACAGATGGGAGATACAAACCCGTGATGGTTCCTCTGTGAGCACCACGGCATTGGCTCAAAAGGCGGTGATGGTCAACGGTCAAGAGGGCAACCAGTTAACAGTGATTGAGATAAACCTCAAATCAGCTGGTCTGAGGGCCCGATGTGTTGTGAAGAACGACACAGAAGAGGGAGCTCAGCCAGAGAGCCTGGGACTCCTGCCACCGGGCGCTGAAACCTCCTCCCGATTCTTCGAGTTCCACGTTACACCCAAAACACCGGAAAGCAAGAGATACGAATACCAAGGCCCAGAGGATTACCCAATAGGTGAGTGCGCCAATCAATAACTCAAGAACTTTCGAGAACTTTCAAGAACTTTCGTTCACTAGCACGAGACTCTCAGTTCCTAATTCTTCTTCCAATAATATGTTTTGGAAACCTCTGTACCAAGACCGGACAACTACCTGGTGGTTGCCTTTTTTTAGAAAAAATACCATTTGAATTGCCATGAATAGGTCTCGACAATCTCGAATCGCTCTATGATGGTTATTCTAAGTGGATAACCATTATTCTTGCTTCGTTCACTCCAGAGCAGCCATTACTCACAGATGACATAGGGCTGCACTTTGGGAATCGATGTCAAATGTCCCGTCATTCGTATTAGTTACCCAACAAACGTTCAACAGTATTGAAGGAGGTGAAAGGCCGTAATGTCACTTCGTCCATTTCTGATGCTCATCTTTATCGAAAGAGGACTTAGCTCGGCTTACTCCGTTGACAGCAACTTGTCTTCAGACAGTGGGACTGATCATGGCAACCAGTCAGTTCCAACTTTTCTCCGTGGCTAAAAGATCTACGCCATACCTGTCGCATCTTTTGTGAGGTCCATATCGTTTAAAACTCTCCTCGTACAATCACAGTAGCACTGGGTTGGTTTGAATAGGGCTAAAGGGTGTGAGGACATCAGCTGTCCGTCGAAGGTCCGTGCCTTAGCAAATTTTAAAGTGACATGAGATCAAAGTTTAATAAAGTCGGTTACTAGCACAAAAATGAAGCATCCGAGCTCCAATGACTTGGTATCCTTTACTATGTACCAGTAGACAAGCATAGAATCGTGGCTATCTATGCGTACACCTCACCGTATTTGGGATTCCTCGCAATGAGGACTCTTTAAAAGGAAGTGTAAATTCTGGGACAAAATGTATGTGTTTGCGGATTTCTCCACTAGTACAACGGTAAATTACTCTGCAGTGTCGTCTATATAGTACATATAAATGAAGAGTGATTACCTGACTACTAAATATAGGATTTGTAAAAAGCAAGCTAAAGTTCCTTAAGTTGGACAAGAAAATCAATAAACTATTTCAACTCTTCTGAAAAAATTCAGACCGCCAGTATTAAAAGTCGATATAATTCAATTAAAAGCTAAACCCTAATGTGATATCCGTACTAGCAAGAATGGCTATTAAAACCGCTCACCTGTTTATAAGATTTTTGTTTTGTCTTCCTAGAAGAGGTTATAAAATCCCGTCTTGATTTTGTGCATCACTCACACTGGAGTCACTGAATACTGGCTATTTTCCGTACCTCTGTCCACCTCTTCCATTCTATACCAACAGAAGGCGATAGGCGAAAGTACACCGTTTTGATTGACGGACTTGATGACTCCGGTCGTTTGCTGGCAACGGAAGGTCAGGATCATACGCTGGACGTGAAGCTCAAAGGTTAGTCCGCTGTTGTTGACAATGCTAACACGCTCCAAAGAATGGACAGACGAGCAGGAGCGGATATACCATGATGGACATATTGTTCTATTTCGCTCCACTAAAATCCTGTCTCCTCTGCTTCTTACCTGGTACAGCTTTTTTTCCATTATTTTCTAGTTATCTACAAAAAATGAACCTAGTTATCTAATCTCATTATTCATAACAAGAAGCAGTACATGAATTTCGCGGCAACTGAGTCATATATGAGCTTACTACCGCTGGGGATTTGGTAGGAATCTCTGGAAAGGCACCACAGATTCCGATGATCACCTTAAATGAACTTTTTATTCTTTGTAGCGCTTATTACTGCTGTATTCTTTTATCGGAGAAGGTCTCATCTCCCGAGGTGGAGAAACTTACCATTGTCACCCTGAAGGGTTCTCCCTCTCAATGACTCCTCCGCTACACGGTCATGTTGCAGCCCTAAGTTGTCCACATTTTAAACACTCTTCTCAACTGATCTCAAACTCCATAAGGTGGACCACATAACCATCGCTTGTTTCCGATGTCTTCAGTCTCGAATTTTTAATCACTGCCACACCATAGACTTTAATCTTACTCTCACTATCACTCTGTTGAAGACAGCCAAAGCTCCTTGGCATTTGTCTTTCAGCTCAACCTTGATTTCATGTCAAGCTCTGTTTACACGGCATCGCTATGCCCAGGATTGTTCAGTACAGATGTGTCAGCCGAACAGCTTTGTGCTTGTTATTCCCAGCCCAATACCAAGTACTAGTCGCTGGGACGATTTGTAGTATGTTTAATGTTACTTTTGATTTTCTTCTGGCACAGACACAGTGAGTGGTGAGATTAAGTCTATTCGAGATGACCCTGCGGTTACAAACGTTGGCATTGAAACTCAGTTCGACAATGGCCAGTCAGCTCCATTCAGCCAACTGGCAGACAAGATTTCAGTCCACGGGAGAGATGGTGTGATCAAACTGAATGGGATGCGTGGACCAACTGAGGGACCTCCAATCAGGTTCCGTATGGTTGTAGAGCGCGAAGAAATGGTTGCCAAGCCGGACGGCAAAGGCGGAATCGACTTGGAAAAGAAACGCGTGAGGTACGGATCCGATTTTGTGGATGTGATCCCACTGAAGCCAGGTGAACCCGAACCTCCAGGTGAGTATCCGAATTGATCACGGACTTTATGGTCACACGGACTGTTATCGATTGACTTCACTTGCAATCTGTGATAAGACACTTCTGTTTTTAACAAAAACGCTTAGGAAGGGTCTAGTGTGAAATCAAGCACATCAGAATCCCACGTTTGATGTGATCTGTGGTGACTGTAGCTGATATCAGTGAAAAATCCGGCTTTACCTACTCCATTACCAAAAACGCATTTCACTACCATTGTTTCCACTAGTCAAACCTGCTGAAGACTTTCCAATGATCTACCCGGTTGTGGATGGTTTGAACAAGTGTGGGAACCTACCGTTAAAGGAAGCTGGTACTGCAGTCTTGATGTGCCGTCCTAATGGTAAGTTGTTTTGTCTAGCTCTCGAAAATTGTGTTGACCGCTTGCCTTGTGTTAGAACTCTGAATGTCATAGTGTACGATTCTCTATCAAACTCGCCTATGTTTGGTCTTACGTTGTGTGGCAGGACCGTTTGGTGGTAACAACATGCAGGGCGTTAGTCTAGTTTTTTCCTCAAAGGAAAAATGTCGTCATATACGCTATCTGTTACTTTCTCCAGCACGTGCGCTTAGCTGATCCGAATTATCCTGATCATTCCGTCACCTCCCCACAGATACACGGATTGCCCTTGATGATCTGTATTACGCATGGGAAATCAGACACAAACTGGGACAGCAGATGCCTCCGGTCAACCTAGTTGCTAAACAAGTGAAACAGCAGGGCAATCGACTCTATCTGAACGAAATGAAAGAGGTGAAAGTTCCGCTAGTTGGCCGCTGTTTGATTTTATCAACCAAGTACAAGATTGCACAGTATAGCAGTGAATACTTTTTGATCGGACCCCATGGAGCTGCATGTGATCCGGGCAAGTTCTACAAATACCTTTAAGTTTTTGCACAATTTAACTGTTTTGCACTTATTAGTGCACTGTTGATGATGGCCATAATACAATCCAGAAGGTATATGCATTAATAAAAGTTTTTAGTATATTTGACGATGGTGAGATGCCACACGTATATAAATAAATACAATGCAAAATGGGAGTAAGTCAAAAGAGGAACTTATCATCTGTGAGAGTTCCTTGGTGAAAGTCCGGACGGCGGGAACGTGTTTTTTCCGCAGTATGGCTGCTACGTGTGTTCCGTGGTTGTCCGTGCACTTGTGGAGTGGTTGACATCCTGCTCCCTGAGCGCGCGCGAATCTGTATGTGCTGACTGTGTTCGGTTTCCCTATATATAGGTCCGTTTGCGTGTACGTGGGCGTGTCAGCACATGAGTAGTTGCTACGCTCGGTGCGGTGCAGATACTCGACGTCCGATGAGTCACCTTGATGTGGCGTGGTTTGTGGGTATAAAAAAAGTCTCGTGATCCGGTGAGTGACTGTGAGCTGAACGGTCATGTATGTGGGTGACGGGGTAGCTACACATTCACCGGGAGAATTGAGTAGAGCCTCCGTCCAGATAAATAACACAATTTTCCCGTGTCTCAGGTCCCTCGTATCAAATCTCTGAGATTGAGTTGCGCCTGCTACCCATTCTGTAGCCCAAGCTACTCCGATGCGATCATTTTTAGCAGGACCAACTTACTTATACCTTATACCAATATGTAAACCAATTGAACGAGTTTGAACAATAAGGGTATCACTCATTTGTATACGTATTTGGTTACAACGGGACGCTCAAATGTATGAATAATGTTCAAATAATAGACCACACGCGTTGGCCCTTGTGCAGTACATTCAGTTGAAGAATATCATAATGGAGGAGATTCAGCTAAGTTTCAGTTGAATCTCCATTTAAGACTAAATTCGGATGTAACTAAGTTCACTCCACAAATTTCGTACAGTGTGCGTTCAAGTGGAACATAAAGTTGACGGAAACCCGGGGATTGCGCCCATTCTGATAAGACCCAAGAATGATAAACCTGGTCGCGGGCTGTTGAAGAGATTTTGACAACCGTATGAGTAGGGCTCTGTCAAGTGAGGACAATACAAGAAAATCTTTGTCCACGACCGGAGAACCCGTGGTGCTGCATTCGCAGTGCCAAACATGACAGCTTCACTTGAACTTTAGACAGCCAGACAGACGGCGGTATACTCTGTGGAGTGTTAGTTTCCCACCCGCAAGCATTCATATACCGTGAGAAACAGCCACTATCTACGCATTCAGGTTGGCGAGATCGGCTGGACTGACTAGGTAAAATCCAGCTGAATTCCAGTCACTTGTTTTCCTCAATACATTACAAACGGAACCGAGACTATTAGACAAAATAGGAGCAGAAAACCGGATGAAAACTTTTGTTTCTGGCGCATACGAAACCTGCATTGCACAGAGGGACTTCAGTGGTGTATGTGTGGTTGATATATATGTCTCCAAAGTAGTGGTAGTGGTGTTTACGTAGCCAATCAACAATGTTATTTCATGCGCCGACTTCCTTTATTTGCCTCATAGACAAACTTATTGTGGAGCCCCATGCCCCTGGCGAACCAGTCACTCCTGAAAAAGAATACCCTGTGAGAATCCGTATCAAAGGCTTGGACGAACGAGGCCAAGTGAATACAATACCCGGAACAGACGTACATCTAACATGTACTGTTTTGGGTAAGTTGATTGCCACAGAATGACGTTTTCTGGCAGCAACTTTACATCATGAATACCTTTAATACCAAGAGTTTGCCTTTCTGTAGGCACAACAGAAACGAGCATTTCTGGAAGGCTTTATCTGGATTCACGCAAGAGAACTAGTTACCTTAATTTGGTTTGTTTGATAGTCGAAAAGTCTGGTTGAATGGAATGTCACTTTCTACAGTTTCTAGTAGATGCATGAAAATTGAAAACGAGGCAGCTCATGAGCATCCAACAGAACCGGTTGAGATGTAATCAAGAAACCGATGTGCAAGCCCTGGATTTGAACTTGGAGCAACTCTTATGCTAGGCACTATTACTTATCGTTGTAGCGGAGCCATTTTAGTCACTGAATCTACATGAAGTGTTTTTACTTCTCTGCTGGAAGGGAAACTAAACTAAATACCTGCACACAGGATCAAGGGGAATCTGCGACTCAAAGAGGCACACATTCTACCAGTTACATTTAACTAACAACGCCACCGTCAGTTTGTTCTTGTGTACACCGCTAAATTTTCCCCCATTTTTCATCACTTTTGCAAAAGTTGCTCTGACTTCTCAAGTAGCAACTAGTTTAATAACGGATCTAGACCAATCCATTTATTTCCATTTGTGTTTTCAACAGATGAAAACACCAACGAACCAGTTGAAAATGCCGATATCGGATGGGAGTTCCTATCAGACACGGGAGAAACACTGTCTTTTGCAATGTTAGCGCGAAGCTACCAGGTCAGTGATGACAGTGAACTGAAACTGATGGATCTGCTTCCCAACCGCAATGCACTCGGAAGGTGTGTGGTCACCTTGGAAAAGCGTGTCACTCTGTCCTCGCCATATTTTCTATTTAATGTCGACGATGCCAGCATAGAGGGTAAGATGTTGCTTTTTCGCATTCGAGTCTGTGATGTTATTTTGTTCTTTGTCGCACATCGAAAAAGGTTAGAATGAAAGTTAGGTAGGTAGTTAGGACGTCCAGCTGGTCCTCTGTTGAATGTTACTCATGAGTAAAGACATCTTATGCTGTCTAAAAAACTTTGTTGAGGAAACGGATTAGGTTTATCTGTTTTCAACTAACACAAAGAAGAAAACAAGATTGTAATACTGACCGGATCATGTCTGTGTTCCTTCCCAATGAAAACTGCATAGCTGCAGTCGCATTATTGATGGGATTACACCATGCAGTTCCCGAAATGAATTGCTCAACAACTCAATCTACATCGGGAGCTCGTGCTGGCGGATATGTTTCAACGTTCTGTCAGCAAATTATGGGTTGTGGAAAAGAAGCATGCCGGCTATATTGGTTTCGACCAGGGTCATTCGGGGTTTTATGCCCGTTTTCTCCAGCTTCTAACTGGCTTCTGTATTATACTAGTACTCAGTACACATTCACTGCGTATGAGTTATTTCGTCGCGCGGGAGTGTCTGGAACGGTGTGGTACGAGTTGTCTTTCAGTGTCACCTATGAGCTACACATACGTTTGTGACCATAGTAAAAATGCAAGGAAATGTTTTATGCTGTGTTGTTAACAGCAACCATAAGCGAGTCAAGCGGAAGATAGCATATCAGTGAGCCTGATCTATAAGTAGAAAACTGGCTATAAGCATTTCGTATTGATCACTATAACTTTCGTCCCGTCAGTGAAGCCAGCCTGTGCTGAAAAGCCGAGAAGTACTGTACAGCTTTTCCATCATTGTTGGGAATCATGAGCTGTGCGCATCACCAGAAACTCAGAGAGTCTCGAACTCGTAACCTTCCGATCAGTGTTTGACTATCTAATCGTTTGGCCACGAGTGGCTGATTAGTAGTGTGAGTAGCTCTCACTTTGTATTGATTTCAAACTGCAGTTTTTCCTTAAATCATTTACACTTGGCTACAGCATATTCCTATTTTGATCTACGTATTGTGATATCATATTGCCTGACAAGGTGAGTTAAAATGCAAGCTACTGAGCCACTTTTGAAATAGCATGTTGAGTCTGTATCGGTTCGGGTAACTTGTTGTACGAGATTGTGCAAATTTCTCCACCCGGAGTTGGCGAATGCAGATGGGGAATCTTAATAAGTTACTTTGCGTCACGAAATCAGCATCAGTTCTTGGTAAAAAGAGGCTCAGTGCACTGCACCTAAGCACGATACAATGTCAACCAACTTAATGTAAGAACAAGAAGAAGATCTAGAGAAGTTCTGAGTACACTGACCTTGAGATTAGATGGTAACTTTGACATAACGGGAGAAATAAATGGCTTGTGCTTGTCCGCTAAGCACTCCCTGTCTAGGTGTGTGTTAGTCCTCGTTGACATCTGAGAAATGTCCTACACCGTCAGCAGATGACCTCTAACATTCGCCATTGGTTGCTATGTTGTTGCACTCTAACATTGCCATTGGTTGCTATGTTGTTGCATTTGTTGGTGAACGCCATGTCGCCTGCTCGTACTCGGGACTCCATTCTCTCTCTCCCTCCCTCTCCGGTGGCTGCTGGGTTGCACAACACCACAGCACTATGGAAACAAATTGTAATCACCTTATAAATCCGCGTAAAATGTTGACATCCGGTAGGCTTTCATGTGAAGAAAGTCCGTTTATTGATGTTCTAATTAATATTTTCTGCACTTTCTTCACCCGATTAAGTACCTGACCCAGTCAGTCCAATCCAGTCAGATAAACGCGTTCTTGTTGAGGTTGCGGGTCTCAACAAACAACAACAGATAAAAGTGGAGCGAGTTGGGGATGAAAGTACACTTCGTTGTCAAGCCATTGTGGTTGCTACAAGTAGACCACTGCTTCCTGTGCATGGTGTTCGCTATGGCTGGGAATGGCGATACTTGGATGAGGATCCGGCAACCACTTCAAAAGTTGCAATTAGTGTCCACACAAATTCAGAACGACTTGAAGTGCGAGGTATACAAGCTCCCCCGGGGACACATGGACGCAATGTCAAAGGGCGATGCGTTGTTCACGTTCCAGCTAACCAAGTAGACGATACTTTGCCAGAAAACAAATATCTTGTCTACGGCTCTGAATACTTCACAGTCGATGTGGTAAAGAAACCCACTACCCCGGTGCCAGACGTCATACCCATTCCGGGGAAACCAGAAGGTAAATTTTCCTATGGTTTATTTCTCCCTATCACGGTGTGTCCCAATGCTGACTGCATTGGCTCGAACGGGAACGAACTTTATTCAAAATGGACATGAATTGGAATACAAAGGTGAACACGAATCAAAGATTGCTTCAGGTCACATTTACCGAACACAATATACTACTTGCCCCGAAAGCAGATACCGGCTTTTTAAGCACCAAAGAACGAGGCCACGTGGACTTAACTCGAAATTAATCGTGATTACATAGGGAGGGTGTGATGAAAATATATCCGGGTTGCCATCTGTTCATCCAATGCGGGCTTAACGTCACGTGATGTTGCCAAATTCTTTGCAATAGTTCCGACGGTTGATTGTCATTTTTCCTGTGATAGTCAACCAGTTTGGGTTTGACCACGGTCATGAGTCATCACGTACACTCCCACAATTCTGTTGTCACGATTCTATGAATTTAGGACTTTAAACGCAATTGGTGTAAAGTATTTGAGTAGGGAGATAAGGACATAAATGGTGAGTAGTGGGAAAAGTTGAAGTTACCGTATTCACATAATATCCCAGGTATAATCCGTTTTGCCGTCGGTACTCTGTCAATGAAGCTCTGAAGATTAGGAGTTTTATGGCCCCTGCATATTGGACTTGGGTGGAACTCCAGCTTACTGGTTGTGTCACGTTTTGTACAATACTGATTAGTTATTAATAGTTGCTACTCCTGTACTGATGCCAACAGGCTACTCGGGATATCTAATCTAGATCGTACTAGATATAAAAGAATTTTCCTTAAGGCTATAAAGCAGTAGCAGCTGGTTTCTCAGTGAGTCACGTGCAGTCCCATACCATAGCTATCCTTCCCTGTAATTGTTCCAACCTGCAAACCTTGAATAAGTTCACGCAGTTTTTGGATGACTTGTTTCGGTTGGAAATTGACTGAACGCTCCTAAACAGGAGGTAAGAATCTACTTTATATTTTCTGCAATGGCATTGAACGCTTGCACAAACAATCAACTGCTTATTGGATAAGCGAAATATTTTACTTCTGTTGAGACGATTTTTCTCCCACAATCTATCAAAGCTTCGCAGAAATGACTTTCCTAGACATGAGACGGAAAAAACATGCCAATATAACCACTTATAGCCTGATCGTCTTGTGTCAAACGGAGATTTGAAAACAGGCTCGTTACTCTTCTCTTTTAGATGGAATTATCGTCAAGGTGATGAACCTGGACGAGAACGGGAATCTTGTTGGAAATGAACATGATAGCGTTGCTGTTAAATGTGAGGTACAAAGTAAGTAGTGCCAGTATGACCAAACTACACGTTCACCTTTTACCCCTCACACTATACCTACCTCATTGTCACTGGAAAGCGGAATTCGCAAAAAATTCGGTGGAGATGTCGCCTCCAAATGTGCTGCGTAACAATGGTTTATTTTGAAGCATTGGTATAAGAGCCAGACTCGAAGAAAATTACGCAAATCAGTCTGAGTGCACTATTCTGATTTTTGAAATTCTGTTGAAGAGTCTTCGGGAAAATTTACACATCCAACCTAACCCAAATTTCGGCGCAAAGATTTAGTGAGAGGGATAAGTGTTTGCGACTTGGATTACGAACTTACTTCCTTGTTGCATTTGCTCTCCGTTTCCAAATATGTAGGGTATAATATGAAGAGAATGACTATAAAGGAAACTACTCGCAAGGATGCTGAAAACTCTTCGACCTTGTGAGTGGTTTCCTTTATGAAAATATACTGCGATATCTCGAATATCGGACCAACTGAATCATGAGGCGGCCTGTGTGCAGCACATTCAGTTGGAGGACATCATAAACTAGATATTCAATTGATTCTCCCGTGAAAACCAGATTGATTTGCAAATGAGTGTATTTCTCTAGAATGACTATAGCTTGTGGTCAGGTTTATTGCGTTTCCCCTAAGGTGTCACTTTTCACACTCTCTTGCTCTCTTTATTGACGGCTGGAAAGGTTACTTCAGAAGCGAAAACTTTGGATAGATTTGATCATAAACGGGACACAAAAGACAGTATATTTTTGGTCTCTGTGGAGTTGTGTGAAATAAGTTATTCATCCATTCAACCTATATTGTGTAGGGTGGCGTCAATTCCAATGATGGGAACTTGGTGGCGATCCAATCATGGTTATTAACTTCCAATCCACCGAAGAATCCACTTTCTCGACAGCTTTCACCTCCCTCTGTTTTCAGACTATCATTAGGATTCTCAAGTTTCTCAAAGTTCTCAGGTTTCGGGTCTCTTTGAAATAAAAGATTACTTTGTGTCCTATGAAGAAGTCTGTACTTCTCAACGGGATAGGCGTTCGACTCTAGTTGGAGCGCATTTTATCTACTTATTTCGGTAAACGTCCTTTAAACATTTTGGTGAGGTTTGCATTCCAATGTTCCCGTTTGTGCTGCAGTCGTTTGCGAACTATGTAGTTTTTGCAGCAAATTAGTTAGTAACCTAAGAAGTAGCACTCAACAAAGCCTTTTTGAAACAAAACACGCTAACGGGCTCCTACTGGTGGAAAAAAATGGAGAAGCCGAAAACGAAGCTGCGCACTATCAAACAGGAACAGGTTGGCTGCAGACAATCGGACACCGAAGCAAAATCTTCGTCTGTACAGAATCTGAGAAGATCAAAGTTCTCATGTTTATTCACGGACTGTACACAAAGGCTGTCTCGAGATTCGGTTGATAAAACCTCCAATAAAGTCCCTTTTGTTTTTGAAGTAAAATTTCATGACCATTTTTCAAAGGAGCCAGACAACATTCATTTCACACTAAATATTTCAAAAAAGATACAACTCCGCTAGCTTCGTCATGCGTGAATTTTAGAATGTCCAAACCTTAATTTTAGACATTTCATTCGCTTTGGTAGTCAGTGAATAATAGTTTGAATTTTCGTACCTGTTGTCACTTTCCCCACTTGTTATCTCAGCAGTGGTCAGCAGTATAGAACAACCTGTGGGCTTACATGTCAGAATGATAAAACCTGAAATTTTGTGTGCCAGATGTCGGAGTGCATTCGGTTCAAAACAAGTAAGGCCTCACGAAGGATGTATTTGTTAACTGTTTTCCATGTGGACCGGGAGACAACCATCTTGGTGCCTTGGTAGGCATTTTTGAACCTTGGATCGACTAAAGCTATGTACATCCAGAAAAAATTAGAAGTTGAATAACCCATGTACACTCTCGTTATGATTCGCATAATGAGGTGACAAGAGTTGGTCAATTATGCCGAGCTTACTGTTGAACTTTTTAGTAACAGGGTTGAAAATAATGTACCAATGCAGTGGATAGAAAGCGCTCTTTCGCATCGGCCCATTAAGTTATCTAAAACTGCCTTCCACACCAATCACTGTGATCCTTATCTCTAGGCTTATGTGAGTTCACTTTCGAAAAAGCAGATTTTACTAAAAACCCTTTCGTGATTATCCCTTCGGTACACGAATGAAGATGCGACTACCAACCAACCCCTTGCAACTGAAGGAAAGCGAGCTGAATACCGAGCAGTCTATGGCTGGGAATTTGCGGATGTCACTGGACGTTCTATAGATTCAAGCTTATTCGCGGACAGCATATTGGCTGACCCGCATGGAAACTTGCGTCTAAGAGGACTAGCAGGACCAACACGCGGTGAACTTCCATTCAAAATACGTTGTGATGCCGTAATCAGCAAGCTTCCGACAGCACCTGGCGAACCAACAGGGCCAGCGAAGTCCTACAAATCAGAATTCTTTGCCTTGGCTGTTACCAGAGCTGATGGAACAAGCACACTGGACGGAAAGGAGGAGGCAGACAGTAAGATCGTTTTTGTTCACTGGTTTTATCATTATCCACGCCTTAAACGTAAGCTGATCATGGCGACTTTTACCTGATGCATATAGCTATATCTCGATGACTCATTACTGCTTTTGTGGCATCACGGGTTAGTATTCCATTCTTTTTGAAAAGTCCTATGCAATGAGCTGTAGATACTCCAATGGATAAGGAGTGAAGCTATTGAACGGAAGATGCGTGGATCGAACCCAAACCCGGCTTTTCGACTTTTCCTATCTAGGTTTGGGCAGTCTGGCAATATATCATCCCTCGAGCTTCTCTCGAGTTGCACGCCAGCGGTGCATCGAAAAGATGCCAAAGCCGAGTAATGCCGTGCTATTCCCTACAGCTATATCAGACTAGACAGTCAACTTAACATGGCGATCACATTTCCATCATTTATTAAAGCGGCGCTAAGCATCGATGTAATCCCAAGCGAGAAGTTTCTCATACACACAGAGTCAACTTTCCTATAGGGGGTGTCCTTGAAGGACTCAAGGACTATCTTTGCGTGGCCTTAATGCGAATGAAACAGACATTCTAAATAGCCAAATGTTTGCTTATCATTATTTGATAGTCTGTCATGTCCTTGTCATAATTAAATAGAGACACTATCCTTTGTACACACTTATCGACAGATCATTTGATGCCTTCCGACAAGTTTATAAATTATTGTGATCACTTTATACAAAGCACATTTTGGAGGGACTGTCAGGTACTGTAAAGAACCGATGCTTCATTATGCTCCCAGAGTTACTTCTGTCGACGAGGACAAATACCCTGAAATCACGCGTTTTTACTATTTTGGACAGGAACCGAAAGAATTCGAGAGTAAAAGTGAAAACAATCGATCCCGTCACCGGCAGAGCTGCATTCATCGTGAATCACTCAATTACCTTTTGAAGGGGGCCTTTCATTTTGGAATATAAGACTTTTGTTGATCCTCAAACGAGCTCACATTTCCACCCCAATTAGTTCACCTCTTTCACTCGCCTCGGTAAATTCACTGGTGAAACAGAAACCTACTGTTACTAATTTGATGGATAGCTGCAATCTCCAACTATAGACGTCATACTGCAAAGTAGTCATATGAAGAGGCCTGGATGGATGAATTTTCGGGCCATTGGAATTGCGTTGTGTGTGCAATTACGTTAACCTTTCTAAACGTTCGATTTGCGGACAAGACCGGTTACTGTGCCACATGAAGGGAAGGAATTTGTCTCCACTACACGGCTGATAAACGACAGTTTGTCTCTTTTTGTGGGACACAGGTGTTGCCCAGCAGTAATGACGGTTAATTCTTTAAAATTTAGATATATGGAGGATCACAACAGACCCAGCTTTTGCCCTGGTCGTTTGATAATGCATTGGTTGGATCTCAACTGCACTCGCTGCTTATAGAAGTCGTACTTTATTAGTTCAAATTCTTTCCGTCGCCTTTCTCGGTTCGTTTGTGCAGAGTTTTGATCAACCCCCGAGGCATTTGCAACCCGACTTCTAAAAACACCTTTATATGTCCCCAACTTACCTTCATACAATCACGTGCAGCTGCAAACTGCCTGGTCCACCTGACTGCTTGATGTCATTCAGTTCAATTTAACCTAGCTGTAATTGTACATACACTGTCCTAACAAAACCTAACTAGAATATTATAAGCAAGTGTTCGTCTTTATGCCGTTTCCTATGGGGGCTATGAATTCGCCCCATTTTCATGACTGGTTTTGGTGCGTTAAAATAGACCATTGAGTGTCAGTTAAACTAACACAACGTCACATGACATCAGTCAGAAAGTCCTTCTATGATCTGTTGTCCCACTCGTGCAAACTGGTGGCATATGCAGCTGAAAGATGGAGAGTAGAGACCAATTTTTGTCCGGAAGCGAAAGTCGTACGCAGTCTGTGCTTATGGTCACTCTGGACCCGGGAACGATGAGTATACTGCAGTTGTTGGTTTTGTGGCCAACATGGTCTCCTTTGCTAGATTTAGAGTGCCTGTAGCATGCGTTGGAAGTCCATGACCGGACTTAGTATGCTTTGCAGGGTTACTATTTATCTTGGTAAAAACCGGAGACTTAGAAGGTGGTTCACATGGGAGGGGTGCGAAACTTACAGGGAGGTGGCTACAGTACTACTGCTAAACGAATTAACTGAAGTTAACGACCTTCTGGTAGGATACCACTTACACAACGGGTGGATATTCTGACATCCCTCTCTCGCGGCGCCCTTCTGACGTTCTTCAAATAAGTTTACTCTCTGAGGTTCCAAACACCAAACCCAATATGCGTAGATTTAAACGTTCATCTGAAAAATCGAGCTCAGTGGAGTTCATATGAATCATTCGGACATGAATTTCTTAAACTATACATATAAAATTGTTCACTTACTTTCATATGACTACCTTCTGAGACGGGGTTAATCGGCTTTAGATATGGCTGTATTGTCCTAAGTGAGACTTGAGGTTGCATTGGTGCAGTAAGAAAGATTAGTTGAAGATTATCACAAATTAGGGGACCTTTAAGTCATATCTGAGTTTTACATTGACATCATACAAGTAATTATGGTTTTATCTAAAACGAAACTCGAAATGCGCCAGACGCAGAAATTGGAAATCCATGAGATCACTGCCACCAGCAAATGCAATAACTGATTCACCATTTGAAGGGATCTGGTTTGGTAGCTAACCTGGACCCTATCAGTCACGGTTCAAGTGCTTTGCTTTGGAACCTAGCTAAAGATGCTCTGTCGTTTGGCCACCCAGCTCAAGATTACCGATATACTGGTTAAGTTGAGCAAACGCACTGTCCGAAAGACGTTGAGCGGAAACAATTTGAGGTTTGGATAATGCTGCGGATGGGCGCTTCCAGTGCAGATCTACAAAATATGTGACAATCAATGTCGGAGGCTGAACAAGTCTTGAGTCAGACACGGCGTCTCTATAATTTCATGACTACGTACAACTGCCCTTCTAATTTTCAGTTAGTGGTCGGAGGATCATAGTTACGGTAGATGGACTTCGTCCGGATCGTACATTAACCCTACTGCCTTGGCAAGATGCAGAATTGAGATGTATTGCTCAAGGTGGGTTTAATGCTGTTCGTCTATTCATTGTGATTGTTTTTTTCTTAATTGGATCGATTCAGTACTATGCTTACCGCATAAAAGCCATCTGACTCTGCACGAATTGATTTTCGTGGATGAGATTGGTCGTTGCAAATCTGGTATCAGCTACAAAACCGTACGTACTCAACTTTTCGTTCCAAACAGTGGCAAGCTACACAAGTAGGAAGCTGTCAGATATGCCCTCATTGGCTCCACGATAAACCAAGTTTGAGCATTTGGTCAAATCTTGGTCTCCAGATCGAAAAAACTTGGTATTCCTGCGGGGACAAACTCCATTTCGATGCTTCACAACCAGTTGATATTTTGACAGCTGACATTTTCAATAAGGGATAAAAAGTCATAGCCTGCTCAAATTTTCGTTCAAACAGGCCTGGTGAAATTGTATCCCATTAGTTCTAGGTGCGCTTCAAATAGGCTATAAATGGTTCATGTGTCTTGTTTTTCCTTAAGCATTTTTAAAGATAATATCAAAAATCATCCATACTTACATAACCAGGACAAAGGATGATTCGGTTTATCGGCGAAAATAAGGTAAACTGGTATGTTACATCAGTAAATAGTGCAAATGTATGCGTACAATGCTATTTCCGAGTGCTTTTGAGACTGACTTGTGAGAGGTACTCGAAATCCTAGTCACTTTTTCTCCGAAAGATGGGCTTCAAGAGTTTCTTGAAAGTGACTGGACTGAACGCTAAACAGCGATTCCAATGATCCTGTTTCTGTCAACTTAGCGCCTCATCATTGCCGCTGGTGACCTTGCTAGGCCTTGCAAAGCAAATTTTCAACCCTGTCCAGTCTCAGTAGATGTTTATCCCAACGGTGTGTGGATTCCTTATTTTTCTCGCTGTGAATGCATCTTTGGCGTCTTGGAGAACTGTGTAAACTGCCCTGTTCACTACCTATACCTCGTAACTAAACAAAAATTCACGCAGATGCAAGGTGAAACCGTGAGAAAAGATCAGTTACCTGAGGTGGCAAATGCCTGTATTCTCCCCATCAGTGACGCAGATGCTGATAGACCCCTCTTAGAATACTGGAGAAAAAAACAGAAATTCCAGTTTGAAAACCCCCAATTTCGTGCATACTGACCTTTAGTAATTCTGATCGACGTGGTTGAAAAGCCCATGAAAAAAGATCCTCGTAAGTTTGTTTTTCTTTATCTCCTCCATCACTGATACCATACTAGCGGGTAAATTCCGTACCGTTTGGTTGCAGATTCTAAGACGGGAACAACAGCTCAAGATGTGACCTACGGTTGGGAGTTCCGTCGAGCTTCTGGTCGGGGATTTAATATGGGATTGTTGGCGACGAACGTGAATCAGGAGAACGATCGATTAAAATTGACCAAAGTGAAGCCACTTACTCAGATGGAGGATCCACCTCAAGGCCGCTGCGTAGTACATCGCGGTCGTCAAGTATACCATTCTGACTACTTTGGAGTGAAAATTGGGTTGACACCAAAGGGCGAAGAGATTGAAGGTAGGCTGTGGAATTATGTTCAAACTAACTACAGGCGAACGTTTTTGGTTGTGAACTTTGGAAAACTTCCTACCAGTTTTCTATGGAAATCGTGCAGCAAACCAAGAAAGTGCATGGCAAATTCATCGGTGTTTCACTTAGAAGATAACCTGTCTGAACTCGTCCATTCAGTTATATTAGTTTACGACTTGCCTAATGGGTTGGAATTATTTGGATTTCATGGGGTTTTAGGATCACCTATCGGCTTAGCGATGGATTTGAGACGTAGCAGGTGAGAAGTATCAGGTGCCATATGTCATTCGATAAAGAATTCTTGGTGCTGCATTGAGCAAGTGCCGAAGATGACCAGCTAACTAATGATTGTTTGTAGCCGCCTCTTTTTTAATTGGCTCATATCTGCAATGTTGAACAGGAAATGTTTGAGCCTCTGATATTTTTCACTGAGTCGCCAGGAAAATGCCAGTAACCTTTCGACATCACGCACATCTGGATTAAATTGGCAATCGCATCTCTATAATTGTATTATATTGTATTTCTATGTCCACCTATTATTGTGAAATTGAGGTATGGTGCATGGTTTCGGCTGAACTTATTTACGAATCTGTTGCAGACAGCTTAATCCTGATGGATTTCGTGAAACTTTCACAATCGCTTTAGTGCTGGGGAAACGCTTGACCCAGTTAAGTGTACATCTTCAGTGACACAGCTACCTATTCTGAAAACCAAGATCTATTGTTCTGCGCTGAAGAACGGATCGTGCTATCCGTCAGGCAACTCTACAAAAGTCACCTATGAACCGTATTTTGTAACAGACTCCTTGGTTCAGTGACCATAAAATCAGTACTTACGGTGAACCCATGTTTCTGATCTGTTTTGCCATTACTGTGACAAGGCCGACCAAAAACCACGTGATTTGGAATTGATTACAGTAGCATGATCTTTGGTCAGAGGCTGCGAGCCTGTGCGAGCCAAATTCAGTTAAATCTCAATGCCGTCGGCAACTGAGGTCTGTTTCGAAATGTGTAACAGCACTTCTGCACGGCAGCTGACCAGAGCGATCTTACCTGCTTTCTTACGTCAGAGCAACAATCAGAAGCACTGATGATTGCAAAGTTCAACCCCCTGCCACTGGCTCGAACGAGAGTGACTGCAGCCAACTGGTCACATTTTCGAACTAAATTTCCACCCTGATATGGGACCCGGTTGCAGAAACATATGGCCAAACTTTTGGTGTCACTCAGTTTCTCGAATTTTCCCCTACTCAATCTTGGTCATGACGAGGATCTTCGTGTGAAGCGGAAGAAGTCAATTATAAACGGACAGATTTTAGCTTTCAGTTAACACGCTGTGTTTGTGGTGTTTAGAAAGACTGAAATTTCTTATCTAGCTGCTCAAACTTTTTTACACGTTGGGTGCCAAATTCTTCCATGGTTAGAATTGATCGTATTACTGCTACATTCTTCGTTGAACTCTCGCGTCTGTGCATAAAGATAAAAGTGTTCAAACTCCTAAACCATGAAAAGTAACGGAACATCTTCAATCTTGTTCATTTTCAATCATTGGGAAAAGTTTGGAACCGATTGAGGAATCATCATTTCAGAAGGGCTTGGTGAACAGCCGGTAGTTTTCAACTGGGTATCGTCTCGCTTTTGAAACAAAGGCTTCATCAGGCAGGTCACCAAGTTAACCAGGTTTTAGGACAGAGGGGGAACCAATCAATGAGATCTCTTCAGATTAGCTCATCAGATCACCTTTGAATGTCGATTAAAGTGTCTTGTCGTTTAGTGTGGTTGCTTAAATCTTGTGAGTTGGAAGAGCTTCCAATCCGTTTTGACCGGGTTTGGCTCCTCCCTCTTCCACGTCAATTTGCTTCAGGTGATTATTCTATTCACCTTGTCTGTCACTGTTGGATTTCATTGGCCTGTTGGGCCTGTAAGTGCTACGACAATTCATTTGGGGGGGAGTGGGGGGAGGGTGGGTGAGATTAAGTGCACGTTGGACCTACGCTACTTTTATTGATGACTCACTCCTCCACCACATGTCAGCTCGACTGATTTAAAAGCGTCATCCACACGCTTTCCAGCTCTACACCTTCTAGTAACATTGGGCCCCTTGGTGATTTCCGCCGCCTCAGCCACCAATCTCTGTAATGTGAACAGTGTTTCTTACCTCGAAACCTCAACATTTTATAATTCTATTCTGTATTCCGTGTCCAGTTCATGTTCCGCTATTTCCGAGTCTTTCGTTCGCGTTTCTCGGCGGGCTCTTTATATTCCTCCTGCGCTCCCCAATTTCAGTGTGAAGTTACATGGTCGTCAGTTCTATATGGACCTATATAGACCTACAAAAACCTATCTAGACCTCATTACACTTTTGTAGACAGTCCCCGGTTCTGTTCGCCGGGTGGCGATCTTTCACTTGAACCAGTTCAGGGTGCGAAGTGTTCCCCTTCTGGAAAGCGACTCTTATGTTAGCTATGTTTAGAATCCTTCGAATGACCTCCGATCTCCCTTATTTAGATGGAGTAACAGCAGTCTTAATCAATTCTCTGTTGGGTCTCGCTACCGGTACCAACATCCTTCGCAAATTACGACTGATCAGATTAGCTGGATATCCAGTTCCTCGAAGTTTGTCGTTTACTTCGATTTGGGTCGCTTTCCGATCAGCATCTGTACACAGGGACATTACGCGCCTAAACATTGGTGAGGCAGACAAGTAGTTCAAATTGCCCCGGTGTCATTTGTATTCTCATACGCTGTGACCTTTGGTTTTTCCGCTACCTTGTGCGAACTTTTGTGTCAGAAACGAAATGTTGCCCAGTTAAAAACTGTCGACTAACAAGGCTTTCTGAAATTTCAACCTTAGTTTTGTTTCCACGTTACCATAACGAAATACAGTTTGCGGCCACAATGACCTCAATGACGTATTGGTGTGTCAACCCATTTTCTATTGTACTCAGGTGACGGTCGTGTTCTGGTCAGTGTTGATGGAGCGGATCAAAAACTCAAAGTCGTCAAAGTGAAACCAGACAGCGAGGTGAATCTGACGTGCGTAGCCACAGGTGAGTCAATCTTTCATACAAGCGCTCCACCCATGAATAAGTCTATACGCTTTCCCAACAGTGACATGGATAAGCTTAGATCCACTGTACTCTTGAAAAATCTGAATAGGACCTCTCCGCCAATTTTCCTCGGAAAAACTTTGCCGACGTTTCCTGACTATTCCGGATCACTTTTACTCATTAGAGCGACAAAAATTGCTATACCTAATGAGCTCATTAGTAATCATGCTTGACGTGCGGAGGAATTCAAGGTTTCTTGTTTGGCTAGGGCCTTCTTTCTTTATTGTCCAAAAAACTATGCATATACCCGAACATTAGCAAGGGAATTCTACGTTAGTTTCCCACTGAAAACCGAAAGGGTGAGTTTTCTCATGGAATTCCGGTGCATCGGTCTATAGCATCATTCTCCGAGAAACAAAAGACGCCAGTCGGTAAGGTTGGCTTGAGTTCAACGATATTTTATGGACATAATTCAATCAATACATTCCGTTGGTATTAGGTTCTTGCCGTACCTATCCGGACACCATGTTTAGCGTGATTCGCTTTGGAGCAGTTGACCATGCGATTATCGTTATGATGTCCTGTGGAAGCGCAGTCCTAAGCAGAATCTATGCCGATTTTTTCTCGGTCACGGATTCAACTGCTCCACAATTTTGCGAAAAGCAAGACAATTTTAAACAGCAAATTTAACAACGAGATCCGCATATGGGCCTTAATCTCTTGTTTAAATTGAACGAACAATTTCGTGGTATATGGGTTGCCTGTTTGCCTGTGCATTTCATCCGCAACGAAGTATCTGGTGACATCCTCATAGTATTGCGTTGTACTGAACTGTGGCATTTTAGTGCACTGTAGTGGGTTTATTTTATTTTATTGCTTCTGATTTTACTGAGGAAACTGCAAATTATACGTCCTCAGACTCTAAATGCTCCGGAGTGTTGAGCCTACAACTTCGCTAGAGGTGACGTTATACAGACCAAGCTGATCATTTGCTACCTCCTATCTAAAGATCGTGCTCACATGGCTTCACCTTACACTGAATTGATCGTACTGATATTTTATACGTTTACATGATGTGATTTCATACTTCATCAAATTTGTGCTTTCAGTCCAAACAATTCATGTGTATTCACCTACTGCCTGAATCTGTGTAGACTCATCTACGGTTTCAAGACTCTCGGTTGAGGAATTGTGGTGATACATCGAAATACTAGTTGATCGCTGTAGAATTACGTGCACCAAAATTGGCTTTCAAATGCAATTCATCTTGTCTTCCCGGATTTTCTCAATGAGAAATAATGGACGATTGTTCGTTCGGAGGTGTTTTTCTGTCTGGCGTTTTAGTGGTAAAACACAGTTTAGATTCATGCTGGCTGTTGCTCAGTTTACAGATTTCGTTTTTTGCTCCCAATTGCTTCGCACTTTTATCAAACTGCTGTTTTGTCTATTAGACAGCAATCGATTCTGGTTGATACATGTTCACGTGTTTATTCAGTTGTGTTAATTACAACCTTGGTCTGGCCGTGGGAACACAAATCCGCAGTGATGTGTTTTCCATTTCAACGTTTCTCTTGAGGTTTCCGTACGAATCTGTTCCACATCGGTGCTTTTGACGGAAATGTCTCACATTTTGAGGTTTTCAAGTCTACTGACTTTGTTATTGCACTAAAATTCCCCATTCTTTAGGGCAATCTCGCTTCACCTCAACTTTGATCTTACGCTTCACTCAACATGAACTATTTGACTACAGAACGTATTATATATTAGTGACTGAACTACGGGTTAGTATGAGGCGTGATTACGGGTTTAGTATGGCGAACGACTTCTAACGTTCCGTCATCCTTTTATGACCACGGGAAGAGAAGGGATCATATGCTTTTACCGTGATCCATTTCAACAAGTTTCACTGTACGAAGCCCACGGAGGCATTCGAAAGCAATCTCCTGCAATCTTTAAAACATCAAACGTTTAGTGGTCTCGCAGCACCTAATGAAACGTTGACTATTGTGAACATTCACTCATAGTTTACTTTCCCACTAGCAGATCACTTACGTAAAAAACTTAAATTAAACAATGATAGATTTTTTGTCGTACTTTCTTTTAGGTGTGGAGACTGGTGCTCCTGTTTCCAACGCTCAGTACATCTGGGATATGCGCCTGGTCCCTGAAGAAAGCGCACCAGAATTGAAAGGTACACTGGGACCATTTATCGAGTCGGTCCTTGAGCAACCCAACGGGCACGTCACACTGCGTAGTGCCAAAACGATATCCGGTATTGACCAGGCCAGACTGCGTTGTCGTGTGCTATACGACAAAACCTGGTACTCTTCGCCCTTCTATCGACTCATACCTGATTCCCCGGATCAGCCACCTTATACACCTGGTGAGGATATGCATACAAGCTGTCATGTTTTCAGTGTTTCTGTAGATTCATTGGTTGCATCTTAGTGTTAGTCGTGATGTAGGTTGTGTGAGAGACGCCGCTTGGATTTCGACTGGTTATTACTGAAGAGTGGTTGGGATTGACAGAGTAAACAAGGCTGAAAAAGTCAAGCACTCAGTTGGAGTAAAATAATCGATACAGTGTGTTACGAATAATGAACATCTGCGTACTGTAATGACATAGGCAAATTCCCACAAAGTTGTCAAGATGTCACGTTGTCACCTCACGGTCCGAATAACTAACGGTAAAACCGATCAAAACTCACAATGAGCTTGAAAATCATTCAGAAGCAAACGATGTTAGGGCAGATATTTTGACTAAATCCCACAATTAGTTCACTATGAGTGCATAGTCAAAATCAGTTGCTTGTATAGTCGTCGGTCCTCACTGAGAATCCGCTTTTTACCAGGCTTTGGAACTGAAGCATCAGTAATCAGACTATTGTTTGAGTTGCTCAGTGGCTGGCTCAACACGACTTTCACACCTAATGGGAATTCGCCAACCCCGCAAGCTGGTCAACAGAAACCAGGATCTTCTTTAGCCTAGGTTGCAGAAAGCATCTGAGATACATCTATTACTAACAGGCTACCAAGAATAAACTGGCTACACCTCTTGTTTGACGAAAGTACATCCATCCGGATTTTCTCTCTAAGGCCTGTAAAGATATACAAAATGAACTGACATGCAGGATTATCTCGCTCAGAGCCCGGCGGTATGCTAAGTGCTTCAACCGAAAATATTCTAGTACCTTAAATACAACCCAGTGTATTGCACACTTTTGCGTTGGTTGAACTAAATTCGTATGACAAGGATTCGACAGATCCCACGTCCTCATCCAAACTTTACTGTAATTTCCAGACCCCGTTGTCTATCCGAAGTATCGCGTCGAAGTGGAGGGCCTAGATGCAGACGGACGTTTGACGGGTAAAGTGGGTGATTCTCCTGTCCTCAGATGCCATGCCTACGGTGAGTTTTCTACCTGATCTTTTGGTTTAATAGAGCCCTTTCCAAATGCGATCATCCCCCCCGCACATGGTCACCCATTGTATTATTTGTCCCCTAGATGCCGGCACAGGGACTGAAACTCAGACAGTTAATTACTACTGGGACTTCAGTCGAACGGACGACGAATCTGTGGCTTCGGTGGACTTGGTTACGGGGGCTCTTAGATTTTCCGGTAATGAGGTGCACCTAGATGGCCTCGTGCCGATTCCCGGGAACATCCTAGGACGCTGTCTGGTCGTTGATCCTGGGTTTGACAAATGGGATGCCTCCCCGTACTTTTCTATCTATGTTCCTGAACCCGTGGAAATAGTTCCTGACAAGAAGCCTCGACCAGCCTGGCCGATTGAGGCAAACGGTAAGTTTTCACCATTTTGTAAATCGTACTTTGTTCATCCTGGTCCAAAGAAATCCAATACTGTCAGACATACTTCTCATGAATAATGGGTGTTCGAAGTTGTGTGTGACTCAACTTGGTGGACAGTCCAACCAAACAACTACGGTACACTTAGTGTGACGTACGGATCACTACTAGTTTCTGGTATAGGAGTGTGTGGGTGTATCATTTTGGCTCTACCGAGCTAATAAGCAATGAAAGGGTTGAAGCGAGGCATGCAATTCTTCCATCATCCGCTTAACTTACCATAAGATTAGATGAATTGGATGAGAATGAGACGAATTTGGAGTAGTCCGAATAACCGTGAAACACGAGCAACAGTGTAATTGGGACTTCCCAAACGCCGAACATCTTTTGGTCAAGGATGTATCACAAAATTTTGTACGGCATGCCACAGGCTACAAAGCAGCAGGAAAGGTGGGGCAAAACTGTGTGAAGGGCCTCTTACTCTTGGTCGTTGTCTTGTTCGCTGAAGTGGGCAATTTGATTGTAAACGTTTCATCACCAGTTGAGGTGACATCATCAGTGCGTTATTGGGGAGCGTAGTGGTGCGTAGCGGTGGG